TTGACGAAGATGGCACACTTCGCTGCGTGCAAAAAGTCGATCTCAGCCGAGGAGACCGCTCGCCTGTTCATCGCAGCCGTTGTTCGCCTGCACGGGATACCAGCAGCGATTATCAGCGACAGGGACACGAAGTTCACCAGCAACTTCTGGAAGAACCTCTGGGAGCAGTTCGGGGCCAGGCTACAGTTCAGTTCGTCGTACCACCCCGAGACCGACGGTCAAACGGAGCGGACGAATCAGACGATGGAGCAGTTGATTCGTGCCACATGCGACGACCCCACGACTTGGGAGCAGCAGCTGCCGCTGATCGAGTTCGCGTACAACAACGCCACGTCAGCGACGACGCAGCAGTCCCCCTTCTACCTGAACTACGGGCAAAATCCTACAGTGCCCATGACGCCGAGTCCGGACAACCCAACACCACGTGCACAACAATTCGCCGAAATTCTGCAAGCTGCCCGCACCAGAGCCGTAGAAGCAATTAAAAAAACAAACGTCATCGCTAAGCGCAACGCTGACCGCCACCGCCGCCCAGTCACATACCAGTCAGGGGATTACGTACTGCTCGACACGCAAAACCTGCGACTGCCCGACGTACCGAAACTTCGACCGCGCTACTGTGGCCCATTCCAAATCAGCCACATGATCACGCCAGTAACCGCGCACCTACTGTTACCGACCGACTGGTACATCAGCCCATCGTTCCACGTCAGCTTACTTCGCCCATACATCCCAACCACAAGCCAACTGCCTCGCCACCGCCCGCCATCCATGACTCGCCCTGCATCGGAGCCGATCATCGAGCCCGAAAAAATCTTGAGCCATCGGATTCGACACCCCACGGGAATCAGGAGGATTGAATTCCTCGTTCGCTGGAAGGACCGCACGCCAACTGAGGACAGCTGGGTGCCCCTGGCCAACATCGAAAACCACCCTGCCCTGCAAGTGTACCTGAGGAGCCGGGGCTTCCGCGATATACACGCACTCGCGTAGCGGAGGGGGCTTCTTGAGGGGGGGGGTAGTGTAAGGAATTTTCTCGATATTCCTTAGCGCACCCTGCAACATCGCGTACAGCAGCAGCCGTTGTTCGCCCGTTACTGCTAACGGGGCTTCGCCGACTTCGCGCGCACTGTTTCACCAAACCTCGCACTGCTAGCCTGGCCATGTCGGCCTACGCTTCGGGACTAGCCCGAGCCTCGCTTCCAGCATAGCACTAGCTAGCTCGCACGCACCGCGTTACCGTTTGCATGTTTCGTGTATAAATGTTCGCTCATGCCTTCGCTCACATTTTGTACTCGTTTGACACCTTACTGCAATTCTCGCTACTTCGATTCATTGCACCCGTAACACTAAGTTTCTTGAGAGATTGTAAATGAAAATGCAACAAGGTATTTCTGGTAGTTTTGTGTTCCAACTTCCAAATGTCGTAAATTCTTAATGTTTGGGGTGGAAAAGTCAGCTTTAGTGTAGTGTAGAATGGCGCATATTTTGTTTAGCTATAAATGGTAGATTGCGAAAGCTTGCTGCTTCTGTGGCAATTGGCATTGTTCTCATTACAAATGTGCTCAAGTACAAGAGTACATAGCAATAATATTGATATAATAACTAAACAAGATGTTTGAGAACCACTTCTCTCCAAATATGGCTAGCCTGGGAAGGGTGGGTAGGAATGGATCTTGAGAGAATGTATAATGAGAGAGTGGGTAGGGGAAGAATGACCCCAACTCACATTATATATTCGGAGAAGTCGAATACGTGCTTCGACGATGCAGAAAATTGCGTTACAACCAGATTCGCTTTCACAATGCCCAAATTTGGAAGCAATACCATAAGCGCTTAACATTTTTCATTTTGTTACGGTACCTGCTATTTTCCCCAATCTTCACTCCTCTTGGCTCCTTGGAAAACCCCTTTTGACCCCTTTAACTTCCATGCACCCGACATAGAGCGCCTCTCAGTCCAGGTGGGGTTGTAATGCGGGATAGATAGCTGACGTTATGGCATTTTCTCTGGTGGTCTATGTATGATTGTAAGATGGTTACAACCACAATATAGCATTGACCTTAACCATTCCCGCCTAACCAAACCAGTATCGAGAAACTCCAATTGAATAATTGTGGTGGGACGGACACGGCACAGCACATGAGCGCTGCTGGGCTCAATGCCGACTTCACGGTTCCAGAATCCAGAGTGAGGAGAGCTTCTGCTGCTTCCAAGTGACGCGGAGAGCAATAATGGCGGCAGGTGGAGTGGCCGACATCAGAATGCCATCCCGTTACAGACACGACACGTTGCCTTCTTCCCGCCGTAGTCTGCGTTCTCGCTACGACCATCCAGTCCTGCTCTGCTCTCTGGGGCTCCCTCCTCCGTCCCCTCCCAGTTTACTTGAACGAGCAGGCCAGGCAAGGCAGAATACTACCCCCTGCCGTCCTTGTCGAAATAGTGCGTATCAACCGCAGCACCATTTCGTGTTCGAAATTAACTCGCCTCACCGGATTCCTGTCGGTATTCTCACTCTAGAAGTTCGCGTACGCAGGAGTTCTCTCTGAGAATCCTTGGAAAGCCCCGCATACGCCACCAAGACTTCAACACGCATCCACCTCACCCTTCGCGCCTTGATATTAATAAGTGAGAAGCGAGCTGCGCACATCGCGGAGGACACGTGGCAGAGCTAGCGGGACGAATTCGGGCTCGGCGCGACGCGCGGCAGATTCTCCACGTACCGTTTCGGCCGTCCGTCCGATTGCTACGTGGTGGTATATCGAGAAATCTGACAAGCAGGCTGGTGGGTGCCGAACAACGGTAGATTGAGAAAAGACCGCCAGCCATGAAGCTGTCGCAGTCAGCCGGACGCCTGAAGCTGCCGGCCGTGGCGACGTATCGCGGCTCCCGTCGCGGTCTCTTGGCGCTCGTCGCGGCGCTCGCATGCTGCTGCCTGCCGTGCACGTCGCTCGCACAGCCCATCGCGGACTCGCAAGGTGCGTTGGTCGCAAGGTGCGTTGGTCGCAATCACACGCACCGCGCTCGAGATTTCACCACCTCAGCCGGCTTGCAAGGTGGGATCATGGCCATGCTTGCTGTGTAATTTCGTGTGTAGAGATAAAATTCTTACTGATGCTGAGGGCGAGAACCAGCCAGCCGGCCAGCCGGAGAACCAGCCAGCCGGCCAGCCGGCCAGCCAGCCAGCCAGCCAGCCGGCCAGCCGGCCAGCCAGCCAGCCAGCCAGCCGCCAACGAAAGTCTCCGTGTGTGAGGTGTTACGATGGTGATCATTGGTGATCAGAGACATCAAATGCCCCTTCTTCCACGTCCTTGCTTTCTTCTTGGGACACAAGTCCTGCGCTTCGTCGTCCTTTCCCCCCACACCCACCACCTACCTACACTGCCCTGCACTAGTCATCTCCAACGCTCCCTCACGGCCTTTCCCCCCTCGTTTGCACGGTTGCTGTTGCTGTTGCTGGTTGCGCGGCAGGTGCGGTGCTGGAGAAGTATTGGTATCCAGACATTGTGGGTTGGAAAGCAGACTACGCAGGCTGGCGTGTGGGGGGCGACTGCAAGCGAGCGCAAGGCCTCACATGCGACTCAGACGGCATGATCACCTCCATGTGCGCCCGCGCCCTGCTGTGTCCTATCGTGCCGTTCTGTGCCACACCACACCGTGCCATACACACTTCTAGCTGCGATCGTTGCAAACCTCCTTAAGTTTCCCCTCCACCACATCCGTGCCGCACCGCACCGAACCGCACCGCACCGCACCGTGCCATACACAATGCCAGCTGCTATCGTTGTAAACCTCCCCATATTTCCCCTGCAAGTTCCAATCAACACACATTAGCTCCAACTCAGCCTGCATGCTTCTTCCCAGGCCCGATTCAAACCGAGCTCACTCACTCACTCACTCACTCACAGCCGCTCTGTTGTCCTAAGGCCTGCAATTCCCGCCTGGCCTGTTTCTCTCTTGGCCTCTCTTGACTCCATTCAGGCAGGGCCCCCCCATTGCTCTTTGTAACCACGCCCAGACGCCCAGACGGCCATTTATGGGTCGGTCCCCCATCCCACAGAAAACAGACACGTGTCTCACCCGCAAATGCATACTTTCCCCACAGACTCCCACTCCCCCCCCTCCCCCTCCCCCCCTTCAAACCTCCATCCCCGCTTATACGCCCATACCCCCTCCCTCCAACGCCCATCCGTCCTGTGCGCAGGCACGTGAAGATTTCTGATGTGGAGTCCTTGCAAGCCGCCTCTGTCACTGGGCTGTCGCGCCTCACCCAGCTGTACGCACGCCCCTGCCGTCGTGCACACACACGGGTTGCTCCTGTGTGCTGCGCTCTCACGCTGCTGCGGTTGGATAAGATGGATAGTGTTGAATGAAAAGACTGTGGAGTTTGTATGCGTGCATGTGTGTGTGCATGCATGAGTGCGTGTGTGTGGGAGTGGGAGGGGGGTCACTGCCATGCCAAGTAGATTCTGAGCTTCCGAGTTGTCCTTTCGCCCTTTCCATTGACATCTATGCTCCTCCGTGTCTCATTGAAACCAGCTAGTGCGCATCTGTTTCTTATCGTGCTGCTGCTCTTGTGGAATATCAAAGCGTTGATACATTACCACTCAGGCGACAGTGACTGATAGCCGCCGCCACCACCACCACCACCACCATCAAAAGATGCGTCGTAAAGATCCTCACTCGGCCCTCTACTCTGTGTGTGACTCTGTGAGTGCTTTTCGTCCCTCCCTGTTGTTCCCCGCACGTGACACACACAGGGCGTTGTCACAAGTGGACCACATCCCAAAGCGGGGGCTCTACAACATGACGTGGCTCAAGTCCCTGTGAGTTCCGCCTACAACTGGAAAGGCCCATTTGCTAGTTTTGCCTGTCGGCGTATGCTGAGAGTTTTTTTGGAACAAGCTTGCAACAAGAATGAAGGGCGATCCGCTGATTTGCCTGATGCATCTGATTTGCCTGACATATCTGGTTTTCCTGGTGCATTTGTTTCTTCACAGGGCAGTGGACTGCTCGTCGTACATTTCTTCCGGACTCCCCGAGGGGGTGACCAAGCTGACAGAGCTCACTAGGCTGTAAGCACGTGTGGGTATCCATTCTTTTGCGAGTGAGGCACATGATAGCCATTGTGATTAGGCCCACTCCCACAATTGCGCAATTTATAAAAACAGTTAGCATGGTATGACACGGAATGACATTGCGTGGCACAGTTATGCGTGGTATGGAATGTCATGGCATTGTAGGCATTGCATGGCATTGCATGGCATTGTATGACATTGCTTCATGTGCTGTTCTTCCATGTGAAATGCCCTTTCTGTTGTGCTGCATGACATGACACACAGGAGACTAAGCAACTGTGGGTTTAAGAATGATCATTACAGGCTGCTCCGGCTCACCAATCTTATGGACCTGTGAGCCCCGCACCCATTCCCCGCATCCGTTCCCCACGCCCGTTCCCCACACCCCTTCCCCACGCCCGTTCCCCACACCCGTTCCCCACACCCGTTCTTCGCGCGCGCCTGGTCCCTGCGCCCGTTCCCCGCGCCCGTTCCCCACACCCGTTCTCCACACCTGTGGGAACAAATCATTCGCTTCTCGCTCCCTCCCTGCACTCCTCCCTTTCGCGGCTCCCCGTCAGTGGTTCCTTGCACCCCGGCTCCACTGCTTCTGCTTGTGTACTCAGCCCTGACAAACCCGCTGCACTCCTCCCTTTGAGTTTGAGGTGCCTCAAAACTGACTGCCTGATTCTGCTTGTGTTTTCACCCCTGATCAATCTGTCGCCGTCCTTCTGTGCAGAGAGCTTCCATCAAACGGCATTGTGTATATAGAGAATAGGGTGATGAGCAGCGAACTCACCAGGCTTGTGAAACTGTACGCCACTCACCTGTGTGCCCTGGCCTGCTGTATCATGTCATCACGTGTTTATCCCAGTATCCCAGCCCCACCGTGTGTGTGCGGTGAGTGAATAATGACCTGCGTTGTGCATCTCATGGTGAATAAGGAAGAAGCACGCGTTCGAGCCTCAAGGAATGCCCTTTTGAGCGCTTTCTCAATTTATTGCCAGTGGTGTTACATCCAATCCAAGTGACATCTCCCAAATGTTTTTCACTCAAGTGTGATCAGTATTCATTACTCATGAGTCGTTCTGCTGCCATCACCATCCCCATCACCATCCCCATCCCCATCACCATCACCATCACCATCACCATGTCAGTCCACAGTATTCCATTCTCCACTCTAACAAGCTGCATCTTAAATCGCTGCCAAGCTGTATCCCAAATTGCTGCCGAGCTGCGTCCCCAATCCCTTCAAAAGCGTTTCAACTGCTGCACCACATGACACGAATCTAAGCGTTTCAACATGTTTTTCCTGCTTCTTGTGTGTGTGTGCATTTGTCCGTTGTGTGTGTGTGTTTGTGTGTGTGTGTGGTGTGTGTGTGTGTGGTGTGTGCGTGTGTGTGTGTGTGGTTGTGGGGTGTGTGTGTTTGTGTGTGTGTGTGCTTGCGTGCGTGTGCGTGTGGGTGCGTGCGTGTGCGTGCGTGTGCGTGCGAGCATTCATGTGCGTGTGTGTGTCTGTGCATGTGTGTGTGTGTGTTGGTGCGTGTGTGTGTGTGCGTGCAAGTGCGTGCGAGCATTCATGTGCATGTGTGTGCGTGCATGTGCGCGTGCGTGTGCGTGCGTGCATGTGTGTGCGCATGTGGGTGCGTGCATGTGCGTTTGCGTGCGTGCATGTGCTTTTGCGTGCGTGCATGTGTGATGAATGCTCATGTGCATGCGTGTGCGTCCGTGCATGTGTGTGTGTTTGTATGTGTGTGTGTGTGTATGTGTGTATGTGTGTATATGTGTGTATGTGTGTATGTGTGTATGCGTGTGTATGTGTGTATGTGTGTGTGTGCGCGCATGTGTGTGTATGGTTTTGCATTCTTGTGGCACATGCATGGCGGGGTGGGCATGAATCAACAGGGATTTCTCATCAAACCAGTTGAATGACAACCGAGTGCTACAAGTCGTTAGCCTGCCCTCCTTGCAATTCTTGTGCGTGCTGCAATTTCTGAGATTAGACACTGCCTCCCTTGCAATGCATGTATGTGCGATTCATTCATGTATGTGCAATGCATGTATGTGCAATGCATGTATGTGCAATGCATGTATGTGCAATGCATGTATGTGCAATGCATGTATGTGCAATGCATGTATGTGCAATTCATGTATGTGCAATGCATGTATGTGCAATTCATGTATGTGCAATGCATGTATGTGCAATGCATGTATGTGCAATTCATGTATGTGCAATGCATGTATGTGCAATTCATGTATCTGCAATGCATGTATGTGCAATTCATGTATGTGCAATGCATGTATGTGCAATTCATGTATGTGCAATTCATGTATCTGTAATGCATGTATGTGCAATTCATGTATTTGCAATGCATGTATATGCAATTCATGTATCTGCAATGCATGTATGTGCAATTCATGTATCTGCAATGCATGTATGTGCAATTCATGTATCTGCAATGCATGTATGTGCAATGCATGTATGTACAATTCATGTATGTGCAATTCATGTATGTGCAATTGATGCATGCTTCTGTCAGTCTTTGCTATGCTGCTCTTGCTCACCTGCCATTGCACCTGCCCCCGGTTCTGTGTACGCAGATTAGCACATGGGCATGCGGGTTCCCCTTTCAATGATTCCCCACTCATGGAGCCTCTCCTGCTCCTGCTGTCTACGCACGCCTCTCATGCTCCATGCCCCCCTCTCATGCTCCATGCCCCCCATGCTCCATGCCCCCCTCTAATGGCATGCATGCACCATCAGGAATCTTTCCACACAGACTGACTGGCAGCTTGCCTGAGTCACTCACCACCATGACTAACCTGGTCAGCCTGTGAGTGTTATATCTACACTTGTACCTCCGTCCATCGTTTCTCTTCCCTCCAGGCATGCGCTCTGATTTCACAATGCATGTATGCACACGTACTGTGCAACCATATTGTGCGTGTGTTTGTATGCCATGCGCGCGCGTGCACGTGGTGCCGTGCATATTCAACCGCTACTGTGATGGGACGTGGTTGTGTGGTGTGGCCCATGCCCCCTTCCATTCCATGTGCCACCACGCTTGGTGTCTCTGAATCTCTAATGTTCGTGCACACTGAGTACCTTCTCGTAGTGAAGTATCCAGCCGGCATATCTTACTCCCATCCATTCTCTCCAAGTCTCTCTAATCTCCAGAACCTCTTTCCCTCGCTCGTTGTGACTATCTGCCTTTCTTCTGCATTCCATAACACAGAATACGACTTTTGAGGCGCCTCAAAAGTCAACCTCTTTCCCTTGCTCGTTGTGACCATCTGCCTTGCTTCTGCATTCCATGCATGCAGAAGCGTCGCGGCCAACTATATGGAAGGAACCATCCCCCCAGTCCTTGGAAAGTTACACCATCTGTCAACTTTGTAAGTAATTGGAATAAAAGTACTTCATCCACTGGTCTAGCAGCAGCGAGCTAACGAGCTAAAAGTACTTCAACCATCCTCTAAAGAGGACAGCCAAGGACAATTATGCACAACGAGAAGAGGAACCATGGGCTGAACCACTTGGTCTTCCAGGAAAACAGCAAGAGTTAAAGCTTGGTGAATACGCCTTGGATGGAGAGAAGCTGGAAGGGAGGGAAGGCCTGTGAGCTTGTAAACACCCCTCCTCATGCAATGGCCTGCAATGGAGAACGAGCGGAGCAGAGGAGTGCAGGCAGAGGAGTGCAGACAGAGGAGTGTGGGTAGAGGAGTGCAGGGGCGATCCCCCTTCTCATTTTCTCTGTGATCCCCCTTGTTCCTTCGCCCCCTCCTTGGATTGGCATTCTCAGAGACACCAACACCAGCCGTCTCACGTGCCCTGACAGCTACAGCAGCTGCGGTGTGCCGCAGGATCCGTCCTCTGGCTTCTGCCGCACCTGCCCTGACTTGTAAGCTCCGCTCTTGAGGGAAGGGATGGGATACGAGGGGAGAGGTGTTTCCATCCAAGCACGAGCTTTTGAGCTGCCGATCCGTGCCCTCTTGGTGCTTCACTCGCCTCTTGAGAATCTGCTGCTGTACTGTGCGCCGAGCTGCTCCGCTGAGACATGTTTTCTACTTGTAAATGAAGTATGAAGTATGTTCGAATCCCCTATTCCATTTACAGGTGGCAAGCGCAAGCCACTGCCCCCGGCCGTCATCGCAGGAATCGTGGCGGGTGTTGTTGTCACTGTGGCGCTTGCTACGCTCCTCTACTTCCACCGTTTCGACAAACGTGCGTACCGTACAGTACCTCCTCACACTTCGCTTCTCCTCACGCTGCTTTTGCTTCCGTGGCACGGCACGATGAATCGTGTGGCCGCTTCAGTATCGGATTACTGGATTGCCAGAGTGATTGCATTGCCAGCTAGATACCTCCGTTACTCCACTTCCAGTCGCCATGCTCTGCATCCGCTTATCCCTCATCGCTTCCTCTCACACCCCTTTCTCTCGAACGGTCCTTCTTATTGATTCAGCGATACATACAGACATGCAGGTATATGGGTAAAGGTTTCACTGCAGCCTTTCACTCTCGCTCTCACAAAGCGGCCTTCCAGCCATGCCAGGAGCATGTGCTTCCTGAGCTGGTTTCTCACACTTTTCACTTTGGGATGGGTGCTCAATATAAACATCTACTATATTCACTTCAATTTAAATCCTCTGTTCGCCATCTGCTCCTCCCTGCAGCGCTGACTAGCAGCAAGGCGGCAGCGCAGGTGTGTCAGGAGTATTCACTGGCGGCGGTGGTGAAGGCGACCAACGGGTGGTCTGAGGCCAACCTGCTGGGCATGGGGGCCTTTGGTGATGTGTACCGTGCCGTCTCTCCCACCGATGGGAGCACGCCGTGGGCCGTGAAGCGAGCTAGGATTATCACCAACGAATTTGACACTGAGGTGTGTGAGCGTTATGTGATGTGGTGTGACGTAGTGTGGTGTGGTGTGGTGTGATGCGATTTGGTATAACACGAGCCAGGATCATCACCAACCAACAACCTTGATACGGAGGTGTGTCACTGTGCCTGTTTGTGCCCTGCTGTGCTTTTCTGTGCTGCTGCGATGCGTTGTGATGTGATGTTATGTGATGTGATGTGATGTGATGTGATGTGATGGGATGTGATGGGATGCGATGGGATGCGATGCGATGCGATGCGGTGCGGTGCGGTGCTGTGCGGTGCGGTGTTGTGCGGTGCGGTGTGCGGTGCGATGCGATGCGATGGGATGTGGTGTGATATGATGTGATATGATGTGATATGGTGTTCAGCGAGCCAAAATCATCACCAATTACTTCAACGCTGGGGTGTGCCACCGTGCTGAGATGCGATGTTGTGTGGCATGGCATGGTGTGTGAGAGAGTGTGGCATGGCATGGTGTGTGAGAGTGTGTGGCATGGCATGGTGTGTGAGAGTGTGTGGCATGGCATGGTGTGTGAGAGTGTGTGGCATGGCATGGTGTGTGAGAGTGTGTGGCATGGCATGGTGTGTGAGAGTGTGTGGCATGGCATGGTGTGTGAGAGTGTGTGGCATGGCATGGCGTGTGAGAGTGTGTGGCATGGCATGGTGTGTGAGAGTGTGTGGCATGGCATGGTGTGTGAGAGTGTGTGGCATGGCATGGTGTGTGAGAGTGTGTGGCATGGCATGGTGTGTAAGAGTGTGTGGCATGGTATGGTGTGTGAGAGTGTGTGGCATGGCATGGTGTGTGAGAGTGTGTGGCATGGCATGGTGTGTGAGAGTGTGTGGCATGGCATGGTGTGTGAGAGTGTGTGGCATGGCATGGTGTGTGAGAGTGTGTGGCATGGCATGGCGTGTGATAGTGTGTGGCATGGCATGGTGTGTGAGAGTGTGTGGCATGGCATGGTGTGTGAGAGTGTGTGGCATGGCATGGTGTGTGAGAGTGTGGCATGGCATGGTGTGTGAGAGAGTGTGGCATGGCATGGTGTGTGAGAGATTGTGGCATGGCATGGTGTGTGAGAGTGTGTGGCATGGCATGGTGTGTGAGTGTGTGGCATGGCATGGTGTGTGAGAGTGTGTGGCATGGCATGGTGTGTGAGAGTGTGTGGCATGGCATGGTGTGTGAGAGTGTGTGGCATGGCATGGTGTGTGAGAGTGTGTGGCATGGCATGGTGTGTGAGAGTGTGTGGCATGGCATGGTGTGTGAGAGGGTGTGGCATGGCATGGCGTGTGAGAGTGTGTGGCATGGCATGGTGTGTGAGAGTGTGTGGCATGGCATGGTGTGTGAGAGTGTGTGGCATGGCATGGTGTGTGAGAGTGTGGCATGGCATGGTGTGTGAGAGTGTGTGGCATGGCATGGTGTGTGAGAGAGTGTGGCATGGCATGGTGTGTGAGAGTGTGTGGCATGGCATGGCGTGTGAGAGTGTGTGGCATGGCATGGTGTGTGAGAGAGTGTGGCATGGCATGGTGTGTGAGAGTGTGTGGCATGGCATGGTGTGTGAGAGTGTGTGGCATGGCATGGTGTGTGAGAGTGTGTGGCATGGCATGGTGTGTGAGAGTGTGTGGCATGGTATGGTGTGTGAGAGTGTGTGGCATGTGATGTGGATTCGCGTGGTGGCCTGAGGTGTGGACCTCTTTGTTGTGCTGAATTATGCCCCAAGACAAAACAACGATGGCCGTAGGTCAAAGATAGCCTTTTTACTCTTGCAATCCCATCGATCCCAGCTTCATCCTACCGTTGATTGCGAGGTGATCGTCACATGCCAGTTTCAAACTCTCACAGTAACCAATGTGAGATCAGCCATGGCCATGGCCCATCCGTCCGTCCGTGGTTGTTGTTTCTTCCATGCGTGTCTGCGTGTGTGCGTGTGTGCGTGCGTGCGTGCGTGCGTGTTTGGACCCACCGTCATGCGTGGCAGGTGTGTGAGATGGCAACGAAGCACCATCCCAATCTCGTTCGACTGCTCGGCTTCTCTCTTGGGATTACTGACAAGAAGAAAGTCGAGCAAGTCCTCATCTACGAGCTCATGCCCAACAGGGACCTCTCGAAATGGATCGGAGAAGGTGTGTATTATAACAGTGCACGTGCGGTGCTCTTAATCTGTTATAGGAACGAAAGTTCTGTTCGAGTTCAGGGATCCACATCCAGTTGGTCGTGCAGGTATACCTCTTCATGCAGGCCCCCTTTCTTACTTCCAAAGGTCTCCCTTCTCCACCGCTCTGTTCCCATCCGAACTGCCTTGCAGAGGCTACCAAGTCGCTGAGCTTTGAGCAGCGGGTGGGCGTGCTGGTGGGGGCGGCACGCGGCTTTGAGTATCTCCACAGCTTCGGCATCGTTCACCGCGATATCAAGCCCGCCAACATCCTTCTCGATCAAAACATACAGGCAAGTGGGGCTCGACCAAACCATGCAGGCAAGTTGTCTTCTGAGTCGACTCAAATGCCCGCCAACATCCTGCTGGATCAAACCATGCAGGCAAGTGGGGCTCGACCAAAACATGCAGGCAAGAGCTGCAGGCGTGCAGGGCTGTGTCGCCACCACTATTGTTGCAGCGAATGCCGTGCCACATGCTCTCTTAAACTGGCATGTACACATGGGCCTGTTTGTGATGCACACATCCTGCTCGACTAGACCATGCGGGCAAGTGGGGCTCGACCGGGCAGGCGCGCAGCTAGACTCATGCCAAATGCACTACCATAAACGGGCATGCACACATGGGTGGCCTGTCAACATCCTGCTGGATGAGCACATGCAGGCACGTGGTGCAGGAAGGCAGCCAGGCTCGTGCGTGCCTGCACTACTACGAACGGGCATGCACACATGGGCGGCCCATGTGTGCGCCTCATGTACTCGATGTGTGAGAGCACGCTAAGAGACATCCATGCTAAGAGAGCACGCTAAGGGAGCACGCGAAGAGAGCATGCTAAGAGAGAGCACGCTAAGAGAGAGTACGCGAAGAGAGAGCACGCGAAGAGAGAGCACGTGAAGAGAGAGCACGCGAAGATACTTGATTCCAGTAGAACTCACTGTCCATCCATTTCTTCCCATATCCATTGTCTTCAATGCATGAGATCAGGCTAAGGTCTCAGACTTTGGGCTTGTGAGGAAGGGAGGGGGCACATCACTGCAGAGTACTCGTGTGGTGGGAACACCGGGCTATGTGGATCCCTCTTATGCCGCGTCCAATAAGGCCACCACCGCCACTGATGTCTACAGGTGACCTTTGAATGACCCATTGATTTCTCCAGCTGGTTTCTTCTGCTGTTGGGTGCCTCTCATGCTTTCCTCTCCTCTCCTCTCCTCTCCTCTCCTCTCCTTTCCACTCCACTCCTCACCTGTCCACGGGGCATCGTGGTGTGCAGCTTCGGCATTCTCATGCTTGAGCTCATCACGGGCCGTCATGTCATCACCAATTCTTTCGCCATTCCCTCCGATGAAGAGGCGGGTCAGCAGCTGCACATCCTTCCCTGGGTACGTCGGTGGGGATGGAAAGGGTGCCGCCCGTAGCCGTGTTTCCGCTCTTCATTCGTTCTCTCACGCGCATCCACAACCTTCCCTTATCTCACGCATTTGGTTCTGTGTCTCAACCTCAATCATCTTGATCTGCTCCAGGTCCAGCAGCAGCTGGCTCAATCCGGCAGCAACAGGGGGGTTGAGGCAGGTCTAAAGGACGCGCGCATGGAGGCGCGGGATGAGTTGGTGTTGAGGGTGGTGCAGCTGGCACTGCGATGCACCGCCAAGCAGAGCGCCATGCGGCCGGCCATGGGGGTGATTGCCGCCGAGCTGGAGGCCGTGCTGGTGGCGCTGGGCGGCAAACGTAGCAACTCCGCCGCCTGTCAGGTGGACCGGCAGGTGGAGTCGGAGAGGATGGCAGATGCAGATTTGGATGCAGAGATTGCGCGGCTGAATGCGTTGGCTGAAGGCAATTGAAGTGACAGTATGCAGCTGCATTGCACCAATGGACAGTTCACCTGTGTGTGTGTGAGGCTGTTTCTGTTTCGTTCATAAGGGGCTTGTGCTTAGGAGTCCAGTCATCCCCATTTGTGTTTGGTTCTAGTTGAGGAAGAACAGGAGGTGATGTTGAGAGACCAAGGTCTTGAAGTGTCCACCATGCGTCTCATTAGATATTTATTAGCAGAAATATATACCCTTCATTCGAACAAAACGACAAAATAATCGACCAAACCAAGCTGGTCACTTCTCAGCAGTAGAGCTCGTATTGGAGGGCCCAATATCTATATTTTATAACAATCATAGTCACTCAGTAAGGGAGATCGAGTGTTATGAATGAACTTGCAGAGTGCGCAGTAAAACGAATAACGAGAATGACTGAGTACTGAATGACGATACAATGAGAAAGGCACGACTAAATAGGGGAAGTCCTAGCTAGGCGGAGAGGTTGGGCGAGGATGGCTCGGTGATGGTTGCGTTTGGAGCGGAGGCGACTCGGGAGTGGTTCGGTGCGACGAAATAGGAAGGACAGGTTCGTCGCATGACCCTCGAGATGGCCTCGCTAACGAGTGCCTCAGTAAGGATTCTGTAAATCCTTACATCGAGTCTTCTTGCAGTGATGCCAAAATGCATACGTCGTGCGAAAGCGGATCAAGGAGCGGTAAGGATAAGAAATAACCGTTATTGACACAGCCGTCTGTAGCGGGTCGAGTCGAGCCTCTCCTTTTCCGTGAAGTGGGAAGCGGCGAAGTTGTAGCTAGGATGAGGGCAACGGCTGGATCATGTTATTTCAGCGCGGGAAGGGCACGGGTGGTGGTGGTGGGTGTGGTGTGGTGGATGCAATGATCTGCTTTGCAGACGAAAGTCGAGAGCTGCCCTCATGTCCAGACTTTTGACGCCGCGAATCCCGTTACCAGCCGAGTGAGTTTAGGGTTGCGACAGGGAAGAGACCGCAAAGAGCCTCCAGTCGCGGTCGCGGAAACCTGCCGGCTACTATGGCGGTGCTTCGCGGTTTCCGTGGTCTCTTTGCGGCGCTATTTGCGGCGGCGCTCGCATGCTGCTGCCTGCCGTGCACGTTGCTCGCACAACGCCTTGCGAAATCGCAAGGTGCGCTGGACTCGTCAAGCCGTGGTAGTGGTAGCATAGCAATAGCAATAGTAGTAGTAGTGGTACTATAGCGTCTTAACAATCGCGCTGTTGTTACCTCTGACGTAACCAGCAGCAAAGCAACTTCCCGCAATCCAAGCTACAGCTTATTACAATGCGCGCACACCCCACGGCTGTTATGCTGTTCTTTCCCTGGAACCTCTTGCGAACACCTGAACACCAGTGGAATGGACGACGAATTTCGGAAAGCGGTAACAAAGTTACTGGGCGAGTTTGTGATGACATTTTTCAGTAGTTCCATTTTAGTGAGTTAGTTTCCAAGGGGATTGCTGTGCTGCGCCATAGAGAACTTGAACTACTACTAGACTCACACTCTCCATGCACAGGGCGAACCGTTTCGTACCCGCATGCGCAGCACCTCTCGTTTGCCGCCACGCCAGTGCAAACTGACAGTTGGGCCTCCCAGTTTTCCGGGCCTTTCTCACACTCCCTGAGAAACTGTTGAGTAGCTGGCTGGCCGTAACTTCTTCCCTGAGAGGGGGCATTGCGCGCCAATTACTACCACAGAATGTATTATTGAATTATTGAATCCGTTCCGATTCGACATTCTGCTCTTTGGCCTTTCTATTAATGTGCTCGAACCGGCCCGGGTCCTTCAGTTTCACGCATGCACGTCTCTTTTTTATCGTTGTCCCAACCCCCCTCCTCTCCACCCCCCCCTCTCCTCCCCCCACTCCCCCCTTCCTCTTCCCCTCCCTTTTTCACCTCCTAATTCTGGTCCATATTATCCTTCTTCTTGTTATGCATGTGTGCTACATTGATGAAAGTTCTAGCCACGTGTGCGCACAACGATCCTAGGATGGTCCTCATATGCCCTCATATGCCCTCATACGCCCTCATACGCCCTCATACGCCCTCATACGCGCTCATACGCGCTCATACGCCCTCATACGCGCTCATACGCCCTCATACGCCCTCATACGCCCTCATACGCCCTCATACGCCCTCATACCATACCACTTTCCTCCCCTGAGTGTTTCCGTTTTATCTACTGACATCTGGTTGCAGGGAGGTCAAGGGGGCGGAGCATATACCATTGGGCTCAGTCTACGATGTCACGTGGCTCAAGGACTTGTGAGTCTCAACTGAACCCTACCTTTCTTGCTGCTGGCCGTTCCACCATGCCGTAGTTGGGTGGATCTTGGAACCTCTCTGCTGGCTCCCTGGCTCCTCTCTTCTCTGCTCTGTGCTGCAGCAGCCATTCTATATTTGCTGGCAGGGCATGCCGCATGTGCAATATTTGCCGCCCACTGGCGCCCTTGTTGTTTTTTGAGGGAAAGAGAGATAAAAAGAGAGCCGATTGTATGATAATATGCATGTGTCCACAGTCCACTAGACACGCGCTTCCATTGTCCAGCGTGTTTATAGCCGAGCGCTCGTTGTCTTATATGCGTTTCTCATACATACACATGAGTATGTGTGCGTGCGTGCGTGCGTGCGTGCGTGCGTGCTCTCGCCTCGCGCATGCTACTTCGCATTCGGTTCGCTCCTTCCCTGGCTGGCACGGGTGCTCAAAGGAATAGATCCACTGCGTTGCTTCACGCATGGACTCACATGTACCTGACCTGATTCACTTCATGCCTTGTTTCTGTTCCAATCTGTTTCAATCTGTTCCAATCTGTTCCAATCTGTTCCAATCTGTTTCAATCTGTTTCAATCTGTTTCAATCTGTTTCAATCTGTTCCAATCTGTTCCAATCTGTTCCAATCTGTTCCGATCTGTTTCAATCTGTTTCAATCTGTTTCAATCAAGCAGGTTGGTGGAGTGCCAGGCGGGAACATTAGAAAGCTTCCCCTCGGATCTGGCCAAGATCGCTCAACTCACCCGGCTGTAAGCAACCCCATGCCCATGCATGCACAAGTGGTTATTGAGCGCATGGCACTTACATAGTGTTGCTCATGGTGTTACTCATTGCTCATCGTGTTGCTCATGGTGTTGCTCATGGTGTTGCTCATGGTGTTGCTCATGGTGTTGCTCATGGTGTTGCTCATGGTGTTACTCATGGTGTTGCTCATGGTGTTACTCATGGTGTTGCTCATGGTGTTGCTCATGGTGTTGCTCATGGTGTTACTCATGGTGTTGCTCATGGTGTTACTCATGGTGTTGCTCATGGTGTTGCTCATGGTGTTGCTCATGGTGTTACTCATGGTGTTGCTCATGGTGTTCCTCATGGTGTTGCTCATGGTGTTGCTCATGGTGTTGCTCATGGTGTTGCTCATGGTGTTGCTCATGGTGTTACTCATGGTGTTGCTCATGGTGTTACTCATGGTGTTGCTCATGGTGTTGCTCATGGTGTTGCTCATGGTGTTACTCATGGTGTTGCTCATGGTGTTACTCATGGTGTTACTCATGGTGTTGCTCATGGTGTTACTCATGGTGTTGCTCATG